ATATTCATTTTGATGCAAATACCGAATGATAAATTCGGATAAATTTTGATAAATTTTTCATTGAGAAACTATTATTGAATCGGTTAGCATGTGCATTTCTTACTTTCATGATAGATATACATAGATTACTAATCAGAAAAGAATAATAAAGAACACAAAATATCAAATTATGATTAGTAATGATAATTTTATTATGTGAATTCTCACACTAAAATCCGATAACTATCTGAGATATTATAAAATGTTATTAAATATTATAGAAAGTCTATACATTATAATATTCATAACATATAGACCTTATTCATTTGCATTCAAATTCAGGCTTAATCTAATACAATCTTATCGTTTTCTATCCATTATTTTAAGCAGGGTTCCTATCGAAAATAAAAGTAAATACATTTCAATATATAGTAATATAAATCAGGGATTATTAAAAGGGCAATGTGCATCGCGATCATTTAAACAGCTGATTATAAACAGAGTCTGCTCGGTTTCTGTTGCCAATCTGCTCTCAGATTATCTATACAGACTCTGCTCAGTTTCTGCTATCAATCTGCTACCAGGTTATGTGCGCAGGCTCTGCGCGGTTTCTGCTACCAATCTGCTTACATTGCCTGTCAACAAACTTTGTCGCACATCTGGTAACAATTTGACAACATCGTTTGATAGAGCAGATTTTGTATAAAATTTGTTGTTTTTTTGACATCAAAAATTGACTGCAGGCTCTGCTCAGAATCTGTTTGCGCAGGTTTGGCTATCTGGGAAGAAAGTTCTTTACAATACTATATGTGAAATGCGTATATAACATCTTGGATATATATGTATAGTTAGTTGTAGTATATTAAATTATATTAAAAATATATTAAAATAGCGAAAAGAGAGACAGAGTATGTAATAAAGGGCTTTCATCGATAAAAGCGAGAAGAATATGGACCAAAGTTTCTATATGTGAAACTATCCATGAAAGATTAAGTTTAGCTTTATAGGTTATATTACATTCGATTAAGCTGATGTCCTTATATAATCATAACATACGTATAATTAAATTTTCTTCTAATAATAATAGTAATGTATTTACATACCTTTTGCATGTACCTTATATCTTTTCTTTTCCTTTTTTCGCAATTCCTTTCTTCGTTTTGTTCGTGTTAACTTCCACAGATGTAAAACGCGCGAAATCAGTGTTCTCACAATCAGATGGGTGCGCATGCGCGGTCTTTTGCGCTCTCACTGAAGGCCACGCATGCGCACCCCGAGCACGTATTTACTGCTAAAGTTATATTGTAAAATAATATCTTTGCAATATTTCTGCAACATTGTTAAAATTATATTGTAAAATAATGTCTATGCAATATTTCTGCAATATTGCTAAAGTTATATTGTAAAATAATGTCTTTGCAATATTTCTGCAACATTACACTGCAATATACAATATTGCAATGCTGCAGCAATATTGCTGCAAGCTTCAGTGCTGTATGGGCCCATACAGCACCGCAAGATTGCAACAACATTGCAGCAACATTTTTCTGCAAGATTGCAACATTGCAGAAACATTGCGAAATGTTGCTGCAACGTTGTTATGATATTGCAGCAACAGTAAAATGTCCGCCTACAGAAATATTACAATATAATATTGCAGCAACATAGCAATATAATATATATGCAATAATACTTTATGTATATTTATCGATATAATATCCTTAACATATGAAAAAAATAATAAGAAATTAGGCCTATAAGAGTCAGGATCTAGTGTGTATACTAGATTTTCTGTATTATAATAATAACAAAATTATAAAATGTAAACTTTTCAGTGCACATTCGATTCTCTTCAATGAAAGAGAATTCACTGAAGAGAGTCGAATGTGCACCGAAAAATTTGCATTTTATAATTTCTTTATTATTATAATACAGAAAATCTATATACACTAGATCCTGCATCTGGCTGTTATAGGCGTAACTTCTTATTATTTTTTGATTGAATGTCATTATAGAGTCCACACACATTTATTCTTAACATGTAAAAAAAAACCATTAAAACTTATGGATTTATTATCGAAATTTTAGAATCATATAATTTTATCAAAGCTATATTATATATATACTGACTTATACGCTATTGTATAAATACTATGTTTAAAAAATCTGAATGGTATTTTAATAATAAATAATAGTCTGATTTAATACATATACGTTTGTGGCAGCCCGTGACGTAGACTTTAATTGAAGCAATAGTATTTTTTTTCCGTGTACTGTTTACGAATTATGGATGTATATATTATTTTATTCAGGACATTTTCTATATATGTATGTTTTGACAAAATCTTTTACTTGAATTAATTAAGAATAACAAAATAAAATTAAAAAATACTTACGTATAATCACTTTTGGAAGTCCTAAATCTTTGAAACATTGTTTATTTCTCTTTCCAGTCCAACTGAAATGTATAGCTAAATTATCCGTTATTGCCTTTTTGAATATATTTCGTATCATACTATGAGCACTATTTCCACCAACAAGTTGAAAGATATTAAGCTGAAATAAATTGCCAACTTTATAAATACTATTTATAAGGAGAAATATTCCACAATAAAATTTAAAAGCTTTTATATATATCGTACTACATCTTCCTTGAATCTCATATCGTGTAATTGTTCTTCAAACAATGTTAATTCTGTTAAGGTACATATCGGGAATTGTATGTTGTTGTTTTGTATAATGCAAGATTGATTCCGATATTGTACTTTCTCTTGAAGTATTTCAAATTTGTTTTCAATGGTATCCAATTTATATAATATTCTGTTTAACTTTCCTAACATTACTTTCTTAAATTCTGAAATAAATTAATATCATTTAGTTAATGGTTAGAAATGTCACTACTGTGTTTACTATTATATATCATGCAACAAATATGTTGTTGTATATTTGTTTAGTATATGAAATATATAAAAAAATTATAAGTATTTTTAAAACTTATACCATGAGTATACAGATTTTCATTTTCTGTATGTAAAGCAGAATTTTTTATAAAAGGTGTACTGTGTACAGCAATTTCGTTAGCACTAATATCTGAAAAGTAATTCAAAAGTAAGTATTAGTATTTTTTCATGAATATTTTATAGTATAATGTTAATAAATTCTAACTATATAATGGTCACCATTTCTGTTTACTGCATTAAACAATGTGTTTTCACATAATATATTTCTTGTAAATTGTCTAGATGTATCCTGTACTTCTTTGTCAAATGATACAAAATTTTGTTTCTGTGGAAGAGCAGGCAGAATTTTTTCTCGTGTATTTTCTTTATATGGATATAAATCTTCTTCAGAAGAGGAAGATAAATATTTTTTGGCTTTTAAACGCCTTCTCTTCTTTTCTTTTTCTTTTAATTCGTTTGACGATATATTTGTTTCAATATTTGATGTATCCTCTGCTAAAATTAATTTTTGCATACCTTCTTCGTAAGTATCTAAATATAACCTGGCAGCAGATTGACGGCAGAAACCGAGCAAAATCTGCGCACATAATTTGAGAACAGATGAACAGCAGAAACCGAGCAGATTCTGTACATAATCAAATGTTTTTAAATAACCGCGATGCTCCTCGGTTTTTTAATAATCCCTGACCTACATTGCTATTTAAATGTTATTTTCTATCGAGAAGGTATGTAAATGGAGGAAATTTAATTATAAATAATTTTATATATATTTTATTCG